GCCATTGTGTCGGCGCTTATCTAATTTGGAGCTCTTCTTCAAAAAGCGCGGAGTCTGGAATGTTTGTTCTCCGCTTTTTTTCACATCATTACTCTGATACCGCTTGATTAGCTCCCTCCCCAGTCATGATTGGTAATTAAAATAGGCATTAAAATTAGTCACTTAGCAATTTTGCCGTTCAATTGGCAATTAAATTACTTAATTGCAATTAAAGTCCTAATTTTAATTGGCAAAATGATAGATGTAGATTTAAGATAATATGTATAAATACTTTAATAAGTGTCTATATAAGGATTACTTAATTACTCAACTTCAAGTTTATGCTGTTAACTTTAGAACTTTTAAGTGAGTAATGAAATTTATATTACATCTATTCTAAGGATATGGTAATTAGATGTATCACGGAGCCCTGCGAGGGCCCTGGCTGCAGGTTGGTGTGGGCTGGACCAGCTGTTGGGGCGTCACTGATGGAGAGGTGCTGCAGGGGAGGGAGGCTGGCTGAGCTCCTCCTTTGGGGAACCCCAGGGACACAACCCCAGAAAATGTCAGTCTGGACAGCCCTGAGGTGTCTCACAGCTTTGGGGTGTTCATTACTGACCCCAGAAATGCCATCCTGGGCAGCCCTGGGGTATCTCAGCCTTGGGGTTTTCCTTTACTGACCCCAGAAATGCCATTCTGGGCAGCCCTGAGGTGTCTCACAGCTTTGGGGTGTTCATTACTGATCCCAGAAATGCCATCCTGGGCAGCCCTGGGGTATCTCAGCCTTGGGGTTTTCCTTTACTGACCCCAGAAATGCCATTCTGGGTGGCCCTGGGGTGTTCTTTTAGTGACCCCAGAACATTCTAGACAGCCCTGAGGTGTCTCAGCCTTGGGGTTTTCCTTTACTGACCCCAGAAATGCCATCCTGGACAGCCCTGGGGTATTCCTTACTGGCCCCAGAACATTCTGGACAGCCCTGAGGTGTCTCACAGCTTTGGGGTGTTCCTTCTGTAGGAGCTCTGTAGGATCAGGAGAGCACAGTGTGGGACGGTGTCTCGGAGTGGGGGCAGTTTGGGTTTCTCTGCTGTTTGTGTGTTTCTCTGCTGCTTGTGGGTTTCTCTGCTGTTTGTGGGTTTTCTCTGGTGTCTGTGGGGTTCCTCTGCTGTCTGTGGGGTGGCTCCAGTGGCAGGAGTGGGTTGGGAAGGAGCCCTTTCCTCAGTTTCCCAGGAAATTTCAGTGTTCCCGGGCAGGGCTGTGGGAGCCAGCGCTGGCTGCTGGGCTGGGCTGGGCTGGGCTGGGCTGGGCTGGGGGGTTTATCCCGGGCTGGGCTGGGCTGGGCTGGGCTGGGCTGGGGGGTTTATCCCGGGCTGGGCTGGGCTGGGCTGGGCTGGGCTGGGCTGGGGGGTTTATCCCGGGCTGGGCTGGGCTGGGGGGTTTATCCCGGGCTGGGGGGTTTATCCCGGGCTGGGCTGGGCTGGGGGGTGTATCCCGGGCTGGGCTATGGGGTTACATCATGCACTGGGCTACAGGGTTTTATCCCGGGCTGGGCTGGGGGATTTCATCCCAGGCTGGGCTATGGGGATTTGTCCTGCACTGGGCTGGACTGGGAAGTCTTATTGGCACTGGGGTATGGGGGTTTATCCCGGGCTGGGCTCGGGGGTTTATCCTGCACTGGTTTGGGGGGATTTATCCTGGGCCAGGCTGTGGGGTTTTATCCTGCACTGAGCTGTGGGGTTTTATGCCAGCCTGGGCCGGGGGGTTTTACCGTGCACTGGGCTATGGGGTTTTATCCCAGGCTGGGCTGTGGGCATTTATCCTGGGCCAGGCTGTGGGGTTTTATCCTGCACTGAGCTGTGGGGTTTTATCCCAGGCTGGGCTGTGGGCATTCATCCTGGGCCAGGAGCTGGTTCTGGCCCCGGGCTGTGTGGGACTGTGGGCTGTGTGTGTTCCCTTCACCCCTGATACCATTGTGTGCTTTTTTCCAGGCCGGAACACAGCGGTGGGACATGCAGGGCTGGGAGCAGAGCCCAGCCAGGACATGCAGGGTGAAAAGCAGAGCCCAGCAAGGACATGCAGGGTGAAAAGCAGAGCCCAGCCAGGACATGCAGGGCTGAGAGCAGAGCCCAGCCAGGACATGCAGGGCTGGGAGCAGAGCCCAGCCAGGACATGCAGGGTGAAAAGCAGAGCCCAGCCAGGCCAGGCCGTGTCCCTGCACCCTCCTGAGCCGGGGGCAGCGGGAGCCGGGAGCGCGGCTGGCCTTGGATAAACGCAGCGCCTTCACTGCACCGCCCGGCCCTGCTCTGTGCCCTGCCCTGCACACCCACCCGGGATGGGAATGGGGAAACTGGGGGCTCTGGGGAGAGGCAAAATTAAATAAAATAATAATAAAAAACCCTATGCGCATTGAAGTATATAAACATCAGCCATTTAAATGAATAAGTCTAAAATAAATAAAAATAATTATTTATTATCAAATAAATTTATTAATAAATTTATTAATTTATTAATGAAGTAAATATCACCAAAAGCCAAATAAATTAAAATAAAGTATAAATCCCTGAAAATAATGAATTAATTTAAGCAATGAAATAAATATAAATAAAACCGAATAAAATAGAAAATATTAAATAAGAAATAATAAGAAATCAACAGAAATAACTGAAATGAAAAATTATACAATAAATATATTGTATAATTATAAATATAATATATAAAAATATATATTTATAATATATATAAAAATTATATATATTGTAAATATATATATATAATAAAAATAAAATAAAATTAATACAACATATAAAAGAAAGACAATAATAAAATAAAATAAAAATTAAGTTAATAATGGAATAAAAACAAAATACTAATAAAATAAAATAGACTAAATTCCAGGTGGGCAGTGGAAGCAGGGGCACGTTGCGCTCCTTTTGTGGTCTTGGCCTGGTTCTGTCTCATCCCTGTTCTGTCCCATTCCTGGTTCTATCCCTGTTCTATCCCTGTCCCGGTCCTGTCCCGGTTCTGTCCCATTTCCGGCTCTGTCCGGTTTCTGTCCCGGTTCTGTCCCATTCCGGGCTCTGTCCCGGTTGTGTCTCCATTCCCGTTTCTGTCCCGATTCTGTCCCTGTCCCGGCTCTATCCCGGTTCTGTCCCGGTTCTGTCCCATTCTCGGCTCTGTCCCTGTCCCGGTTGTGTCTCCATTCCCGGTCCTGTCCCGTTTCTGTCCCATTCCCGGCTCTGTCCCCTGTCCCTGCTCTGTCCCATTCCCGTTCCTGTCCCGTTTCTGTCCCATTCCCGGCTCTGTCCCCTGTCCCTGCTCTGTCCCATTCCCGTTTCTGTCCCGGTTCTGTCCCGGCCCGGGGTCGCGGTGGCGCGCGCTATTCCGGGTTTCGCGTCACGGTGACGCGCGCGGGGGGCGGGGGCGGCACCGCCCTCTATGCAAACGAGGCCACGCCCCCGCCCGGGCGCGTGGCCGGGGCGCGCCCCTCGGCGTGACGTCACCGCTCGGAACCTCACCAAAAGGGCGCGCTGGCGCGCGGGGGGGCGTGTCCGGGGCGGGCCGCGGGCGGCGCGGATTGGCGGGCGGCGCTGACGCGCGGTGACGCGCGGGGGCTCGCGGCGCACGTTGGTCGGCGGCGGCCGCGGCCACATAAACAAAGGCACATTGCGGGCGGGCACAGTCCGGCCGCCCGCGCCGCCGCCGCCGCCGCTCCGCCCGCCGCCGCTCCTGCCGCTCTTGGATGCGCGCCCCGCGCTCCGCTCCCCGGTGAGTGCCCGGCCCGGCCCGCCTCCCGCGCCCCCCTCCCGCGCGAGGTTCCCCGTGCCGTGCCGTGCCGTGCCATCCCGTGCCGTGCCAGCTGCCGGCGGTCCCCGCTAGGGTCGGTCCCCGGACGGGACGGGACGGGACGGGACGGGTGGCGCTGCCCGCGGGCGCGTGTTCCCCGCGGAGCTGCCGTGCCGAGCCGAGCCGGGTCCGCCCGGGCTCTCTGGCTGTCACCGCGCCCCGCTCCGGTACCGGCACCGCCGCCGCGCCGGGAGCCCCGCGCCGCGCCCGCTCTCCCCAGGGACGCGCCGCGGCTCCCGCAGGGCGGGGAGAAGGGAGCCCGGCAGCCGGTGCCGGTGCCAGCCCGCCCGCGGGGAGCCGCCTGCCCGCTTACCGAGAGGTAACCCAGAGCGAGCCCAGAGCGGCTCCTCGAGGGCGCGGGGCGGCCCTGCCCGGCACCGCTCCCGCTCCCCGCAGCCGGGGCTCCCCCGAGCCGGGCGGAGCGGCGGCGGCTCCGTGTGTCTGTCCCTTCACCGGCGGCTCCGGGTGTCTGTCCCTCCACCGACCGTCCGTGTGTCAGTTCCCCGCCGGGGCTGCCTGACCGCCGTGTCCATGTGTCTCTTCTCCGCTCCGGGTCCGTGTGTCTGTCCCCGCACCAGCGGGTTTGTGTGTCAGACTCCCACCCCCGCTGCCCGATCGGCGGGTCCGTGTGTCAGTGTGTCCGTCCGTTCACCGGCGGGTCCGTGTGTCGGTCCGTGTGTCCGTCCGCTCACTGGCCGCTCGGTGTGTCGGTCCGCTCGCCGTCGGGTCCGTGTGTCGGTCCGCTCACCGGCGGGTCCGTGTGTCGGTCCGTGTGTCCATCCATCCGCTCACCGGCGGGTCCGTGTGTCTGTGTGTCCGTCCGCTCACCGGCGGCTCCGTGTGTCGGTCCGTGTGTCCATCGCTCACCGGCGGCTCCGTGTGTCGGTCCGTGTGTCCGTCCGCTCACCGGCGGCTCCGTGTGTCGGTCCGTGTGTCCGTCCGCTCACCGGCAGCTCCGTGTGTCGGTCCCTGTATCCATCCATCAGCTCACCGGCGGCTCCCTGTGTCAGTCCGTGTGTCCATCCATTCGCTCACCGGCGGCTCCGTGTGTCCGTCCGCTCACCGGCGGCTCCGTGTGTCGGTCCGTGTGTCCATCCGCTCACCGGCGGCTCCGTGTGTCCGTCCGCTCACCGGCGGCTCCGTGTCTCCGCAGCCGTCGCGCCGGGCAGGCTGGAGCCGCCGCCGCGCTCTGATCCCGCGGACCCCTCGCTGCCCGCCGCGCTCCGACGCTGTCCACCCTCGGCTGCCCCGAAGCCGCCGCTCCCCCGGCTGAAGGTGGGTGCGCTCCGTCCCCGCGGCCCCGGCGGGGCAGGGCGCTCCCGGCGCTCCCGGCGCTCCCGGCGCTCGGCCCCGGCGGCCGGCGCGGGGCGGCGCGGGCCCGGCCTAGCTGCCGCTGTTTCGTTCGCAGCCATGCCCTGCGTTCAGGCTCAGTATGGGTCCTCGCCTCAAGGAGCCAGCCCGGCCTCCCAGAGCTACGGCTACCACTCCTCGGGAGAGTACAGCTCCGATTTCCTGACTCCGGAGTTCGTCAAGTTTAGCATGGACCTCACCAACACCGAGATCACCGCCACCACTTCTCTCCCCAGCTTCAGCACCTTTATGGACAACTACAACACGAGCTACGACGTGAAGCCCCCCTGCTTGTACCAAATGCCCCTGTCGGGACAGCAGTCCTCCATTAAGGTGGAAGACATTCAGATGCACGGCTACCAGCAGCACGGCCACCTGCCGCCGCAGTCCGAGGAGATGATGTCCCACTCGGGCTCCGTCTACTACAAGCCCTCGTCGCCCCCGACTCCGTCCACGCCCGGCTTCCAGGTGCAGCACGGCCCCGTGTGGGACGAGCCCGGCTCCCTGCACAACTTCCACCCCAACTACGTGGCCGCCACGCACATGCTCGAGCAGCGCAAGGCGCCCGTGTCCCGCCTGTCGCTGTTCTCCTTCAAGCAGTCCCCGCCCGGCACGCCCGCGTCCAGCTGCCAGATGCGCTTCGAGGGGCCCCTGCCCGTGCCCGTGGGCGCCGAGCCCGCGGGGCCGCACCCCGGCGCGGACGGGCCGCCGTTCGCCGTGCCCGGCGGGCTCCGCAAGCAGCCGCCCATGGCGTTCCCGGGGCTGCCGCTGGGCCCCGCGCCGCAGCTGCTGGACGGCCCGGTGCCCTCGCCGCCGTCCCGCGGCTCGCCCTCCAACGAGGGGCTCTGCGCCGTGTGCGGCGACAACGCGGCCTGCCAGCACTACGGCGTGCGCACCTGCGAGGGCTGCAAGGGCTTCTTCAAGGTGAGCGGGGACGAGCGGGGCCGAGCGGGGCCGCGGGGGGGCCCGCGGATGGAAATCGGGTAGGACAGAGCGGCGCGTCTGAGCTAACCGTGCGGAACGGAATTCCCTGTGGTAAAATTAAGTGATCTCTTTATTTCGCCATCCCGATTGAATAATCTTATCATTTTAAATAGAGGAGGTCTCCAAGGAATGTAAATAATATGAATGCCCACGGATTTGTATTTACCGAGCGTCTCTTTCCCTCCTCTTGGCATATAAAACGCGGCTAGGAGCTGCGAGGTTAGCTTGGATGTTAACGCTTTCAATTTTCTCCTGTTAAATGCCCTGGGAAGGGAAAAAAAAAAAAAAAAAAGGAAGGGGAGGGGGGGAAGGAAAAGGAAATAAAAGGGGAAAAAAGGGAAACTAAATAAAGGGAGAAAGGAAATAAAATTAAACAGGGAAAAGGGCAAAGGAAATAAAGGGAAAAGAAAATAAATCTAAAAGGTAGAAGAAGAAAAGGGGAAAAGGAAATTATAGAAAGGAAAAATTTAAAAGGGAGAAGAGAATGAAGGGGGAAAAGAGGAAGGGATATAAAGGTTAAAAAGAGGAGAAGTAAAGATAAAAAAAATGAAAATAAAATAAAGGGGGAAAATGAAAGCGGGAATGGAAAACGAAGGGGGAAGGGAAGAAAACAAAGCGGAAAAACGGAAAATAAAATAAAGGGAGGGAAAAGAAACAGAAAAACCAGGGTGCAAGGCGGTGAGAGCAGGGGCGGGCGGGACGCGGGCGCTCCGGCCCGGCGCTGACGCCGCTGCCGCCCGGTGCAGCGCACGGTGCAGAAGAACGCCAAGTACGTGTGTCTGGCCAACAAGAACTGCCCGGTGGACAAGCGCCGCCGCAACCGCTGCCAGTACTGCCGCTTCCAGAAGTGCCTGGCCGTCGGCATGGTCAAGGAGGGTGAGTGTCCGTCCGTCTGTCCGCGCGTCGGGAGCGCCCCGCGGCGCCGGGCTGACCCCCGTCTCTTGCAGTGGTGCGCACAGACAGCCTCAAAGGCCGGCGGGGCCGCTTGCCGTCCAAACCGAAGAGCCCCCAGGAGCCTTCTCCCCCCTCTCCCCCGGTGAGTCTGATCAGTGCGCTGGTGAGAGCCCATGTCGACTCCAACCCGGCTATGACCAGCCTGGACTATTCCCGGGTAAGCGGCACCGAGCTCGCGGAGGGACCCCGCCGCCGCCGCCCGGGGAGGGGGGTCCGGCCCCTCGGCCGTGCGGGGGGACACGGGAGCCCGCCCGGGGTCGGCTCGGCTCGGCTCAGCCCGCCCGGGGTCGGCTCGGCTCGGCTCTGCCCGCCCGGGGTCGGCTCGGCTCGGCTCGGCTCGGCTCAGCCCTGCTCTGCCCGCCCGGGGCTCGGCTCGGCTCGGCTCGGCTCAGCCCTGCTCTGCCCGCCCGGGGCTCGGCTCGGCTCTGCCGGCACCGGGGGCTCGGCTCGGCTCGGCTCGGCCCCGGCCGGGATCGGGCCCCCCGCGCACGGAGAGCGGCGGCCTCGGAGCGCCGTTCCTAATCGAATTAATTGCCCCGGAACATCTAATTTCCTCACCGGTCAGAGAGAGCTTTAATTGTTATCCCAGCCCGCTCCCCGGCCAGCGACGGGGCGAGCAATTTCACGGGTTATAGACTTTAGAGAACCTCATTAAGCGCTTTTTAAAATGAATTTCCAGTTCCAGGCTAACCCCGACTACCAGCTGAGCGGTGACGACACCCAGCACATCCAGCAGTTCTACGATCTGCTGACCGGCTCCATGGAGATCATCCGAGGGTGGGCGGAAAAAATCCCCGGCTTCACCGAGCTGCCCAAGACGGACCAGGACCTGCTCTTCGAGTCCGCCTTCCTGGAGCTGTTCGTGCTGCGCCTGGCGTACAGGTGAGCGGGGCGCGGCAGGGAGTCACACCCCAGCGAGGTCCGCTGGGCTGCGCTTTATTAACTCCTCGGTAATTAGGTGCCTCTTAAATCCTTCATTTATTGCTCCTCCAGTAATTAGTTGTTTAGATTTTCTCCCCCATCGTCTCCTTTCTTATTATTTTATTTCTTTCCTGCTCTCTCTTGTTGTTTTTTCTCTTTCATTCCCTCTTCTATGTTTTATCTTTCTCTCCCCCTGTCTTTCTTCCTTTTCCTCATTTTCTCTTTCTTTACTCTTATATTTTGTCTTTCTCTTATCTTTTGTCTTTTTCTTTCTTTTCCTCCGTTTTCTCTCGCTGTCTAATTTTCCTCCCTCTCCCATCCATGCATCCATCAGTTCACTCTGGGGTTGTGCCCTTCCTCGCAGGTCCAACCCCGTGGAGGGGAAGCTGATCTTCTGCAACGGGGTGGTGCTGCACCGGCTGCAGTGCATCCGCGGCTTTGGGGAGTGGATCGATTCCATCGTGGAGTTCTCCTCCAACCTGCAGAACATGAACATCGACATCTCCGCCTTCTCGTGCATCGCTGCCCTGGCCATGGTGACAGGTCAGTGTCCCCCTGCCGCCCCCTGCCCTCCCCGCTCCCAGCCAGACCCCTGACGTCCCGCACCCTTCCCTTGCAGAGAGGCACGGGCTCAAGGAACCCAAGCGGGTGGAAGAGCTGCAGAACAAGATTGTAAATTGTCTCAAAGACCACGTGACTTTCAATAACGGGGGGCTGAATCGCCCCAACTATTTGTCCAAACTCTTGGGGAAGCTCCCCGAACTCCGCACGCTTTGCACGCAGGGGCTGCAGCGCATTTTCTACCTGAAACTGGAGGATTTGGTGCCGCCGCCAGCAATAATCGACAAACTTTTCCTGGACACTTTGCCTTTCTAAGACTCTTCCCGCACGCTTCCGCTGACCCGAGGAGAAGCTCCACCTGCCTGGAGCCGGTGTGGGCCCAGAGCAGCACCCCTGGGTGCCAGCTCCCGCCCGGCCGCTGCTGCCAGCTCCTGCAGGCAGAAGGCGATGGGCATTTTGGCTCTGGGCCATCGTGGATGCAGCTCATGGACTACACAAATACCATGGTATAAACTTTTTATTCTCGGCTTCTAAATGAGTTTATGATTAAGGACTTCTGGTGCAAAGACGAGCCTGCCCGGCGGCGCCGGCTCACGCGGGGCCGAACCCAGCGCCGGGGCGACCCAAAGCCTCACCCTCCTAAAGACTAAAGTTTTCTGCAGCAAAAGACAGCTGTAATATACCCAGACAGACCCCAAACCTCGCGTGGGTGGCGTGGCGTTAATGAAGGCGAAGGCTTGTAAATTTATCAGATGCGGTTTGGCTTTTAAAAAAAAAAAAAGTAAAAAATTCTTCTGTGCCTATTTATGACGAAACGTGGAAAATAATTCTAAAAAAAAATTAATCAAAAATAAAAGCTAAATGTGTTTGGGAAAAAAAATAATTTTAAAAAAAGGAGAATTAAAAAAAAAAAAAAAAAGAAAGAAAACCCAATTTGTCCATACCAGGGAAGCATGACGATTCCAGGGTGACAATGTTATAGGCACTTGCTATTTCAGTAATGTCTATATTCTATAAATAGTATTTCAGACACTATGTAGTCTGGTAGCTTTTATAAAGACTGGTAGTTATCTAAGCTTCAAACATTTTCTCAATTGTAAAATAGGTGGGCACAAGTGTTACCCCCGGAATCCCCCCAAAGGGACACATAGTGTTTGTAAACACCGCCCGACACCCCTTGTTTGTAAGTGTTGTATGTACTGTTGATGTTGATTAAAGAAGAAGTTTATATCTTGATTATTTTGTTGTCTAAAGCTAAACAGATCTTGCATGCAGCAGCTTTTGACTGTTTCCAGAGTGCTTATACTATACATAACTCCCTGGAAATTACTGAGCACTTTGAATTCTTGGTTTGTTTTGTTCCATTTGTTTTTTTTATGTCTAAAAATTGTCGGTTAATATATTATTTTATGTTGGAGTAATATTTTTAATATTGCCATATTCTGTAGTATTTTTCTTTGTATACCCCGGTTTGGCACACGGGAAAGTCGCTGCCTTTTTTTAATATGGTGTACGACAGTTAGAAACGCGGATTATTATTATTATAATTATAATTATTATTATTATTATTATTTTTTCTCCCGAGAACTCTTTCTTTGAGAAAGACAATTTTAATGTTTACAACAATAAAACATGTAAACGAATCGAATTTCGTCTCCTTTCTGCCGAAGTGCGAAGGCGCTCAGCCAGGGGACAAAAGCCTCTGCCCGTGCGGCGCTCCCGGAGCGGCGATGGCCGGGGCCGCTCCCGCTCGGCGCCGCGGGAGGAAGAGGAGGAAGAGCCGCGGCTCGGAGGTTGGTCCTTCCTTCCTTCCCCGCGTTTTAGCGCGCTCGGTCCCCGCCGCATCCCGCGCCATCCATCCATCCATCCCTCCATCCCTCCATCCCTCCATCCCTCCCTCCGTCCTCCCGCGCCGGCGTTTGCTCAGGCGCATCCCTTCGGCGGGGGGTGATTCCTCAGGAAAACAGCGTCCGTGGAGGAGTTCAATTCCCAAATCCCCGCCCGCGGCCTCGGAGGGGCTCGGGGGGCAGCGCGGAGCGCAGCGGGTGCGGGATCCGGGCTCCTGCCAAGCTTTGGGTCGGGGGCGGCTCTCGGAGCCCCGCGGCACCGGCACCGCACCCGGGGCATGGGCACCACGCTCGGGGCACGGGCACCGCCCTCGGGGGCACCGACACCACGCTCGGGGCACGGGCACCACGCTCGGGGGCACGGACACCGCGCCCGGAGCCCCGCGGGTCCCGGGACCGGGATGCGCTCACGGGAGTCCCGTGTGTGCAGAGGGAGGAGGATCCCAAACTCCGCTGGTTTGTCCAGGGCAATGGAACTTCACCTCTCGCCTCGGGAGACATTATAACGCCCGTGGGAGGGTGAGGGAGGCACGACCGGGATCGGTTTTGCTCCTCTGTGCCGCGCGTCCCGCGGTGCCCAAAACCCTGCGGACACGGGTGTGGGGCACGGTGGATATGCAGCATCCCGGTGCCGCATCCCTGTCCCGGTGCTGCATCTCAGCTCCGTGCCACATCCCTGTCCCGGAGCCGCATCCTCGTTCCGGTGCTGCATCCCCGTCCCCATCCCGGTGCCGCATCCCCATCTCGGAGCCGCCTCCCCATGCCGGTGCCGCATCCCCGGTGCTGTAACCCAGCCCAGTGCCACATGCCCAGCCCGGTCCTGTACCCCGTCCCGGTGCCGCCTCCCCATGCCGGGGTGCCGGGATCTGCGACCCGCGGCTCTGCAGCCCCCGGAGCGGCCGAGCCCCGGGTACCCGGAGTGCCGGGAAGGGGCTTCGCGGCTCGGTCCGGCGAAAAGCTCGAGAATGAAGAGTTGTAAACAGGAATGAAAGTCGGTGCTGTGGAGGACAAGGAGCGGGGCTGGGGCAGACGCGGGTGTTTCCTAACTCATCCCGAGCGGGGTCTGGAGCGCGGGATCGCCACGGAGCTGGAATACTTGTGGGTTCAACCTAAACAGTGCACATGGAATACAGAGATGCCCTAAATATATATAGAATACAGACATTCCCTCAATATGCGTAAATAAATATGAAAGTGTAAATGCCTATGCTCTAGAAGGGGTTTAAAACGCAAAAGAAAGACAAAAACCTGTTTATCGAAAGAATTTAACAACCCGATCCCCCTCTAAATATCCCCCAGCTGCTCCCAATCCCTCCCAGAAATCAGCTGCTCCCACCGCGTTAATCAGCGCCCTTCGCAGCAACTTTCCTAACAGGTTTAACCCTCTGCACCTGGGCAGAGCAGGATTTATCCTTCCCGGGCGGCTCTTCCACGCCTGCCGCGGCTTTTCCCCCGCAGTTCCCCGGGTGTGTCCCCTGCGGGACGAGCGGAGGCGCCGAGCCCGGAGCGAGCGGGCACCGGACACGGGCACCGGACACGGGCACCGAGGTGGGCTCGGGCAGGGGATGGGGCTGGGGGCGGGCTGCAGAGGGGCACAGCCTCTGTGCTCCCTGCCTTCCTGCCCTTCGCCTTCTGCAGGCTCCGGGAATGCTGAGCGCTGTGCAGAGACACTGGGGAAAAAGGTTCAGAATGCGAGCTCAAGGCAGAACGTGGAGCTGAAGGAATGGTTTTTTAACTGGCGGTATCAATGGGAGGATTTATTAAAAGGTTTCGCTTCTCCGGGCTTGCAATATTCCAGATCAATAGCTATCTTAATTATTTCAGCCGCGCGCTGCTGCTGGAATTTGTTGCTGCTCGTTCTGCTGGGCTCGTGTGAGGAGCAGCCAGACCCATCCTGGTTTGTTCCCTGGAATTCCAGGTTTTGTAGCTCTTTACAAACCCGCTGGGCTGATTGGAACCCAACTTTCTGTTTTGCTCAGGCTGGTTTGTGTGGAGTTGCTCCGAGGTGTAAGGGTGGAGTGTGTTTGCCTTGTCTGGAGTCAGGCTGCCGCACACACAGGAGCGTCCCTGCTCCTCCCCAGAGCCGGGCGCCTTCCTCCTGCCGAGGAGGTTACACCGAAATGTGCCGAGATTTCCAAACCCGACAGAGGAACCGGGGCTGGGTTCGGGCCAGGTGCGCGCTGCTCGCCACGCTCCGCAATCCCAGCCGCGTTTTCTGGATGGTGCCATGGTGCCCTGGCTGTGCTGGGCTCCGAGTGCCACCAAAGTGGGCTGGCAGCATTGCCGGGGAGGTGTGTGCTGCTCCTGCAGAGGAGCTGACCCGGTGGGAGCTTTGCTGCTTTGGGAATGCAGCTCTCGCTCCCTGCCCCATCGTCCTCACCTGCGGGTCCCTCCCTCATCATCCTCACCTGTGTATCCCTGCCCCGTCATCCTCACCTGTGTGAGTCCCCTGCCCCATTGTCCTCACCTGTGTGAGTCCCCTGCCCCATTGTCCTCACCTGTGTGTCCCTGACCCATCGTCCTCACCTGTGTGTCCCTGCCCCATCGTCCTTACCTGCGGGTCCCTCCCTCATCATCCTCACCTGTGTCGGTCCCGGCCTCATCATCCTCACCTGTGTGGGTCCCTGCCCCCTTATCCTCACCTGTGTGTCCCTGCCCCATCATCCTCACCTGAGTGCTGTGAGCAGCCGGCAGAACTCACGGCCGGGGTATCCAGAGCTGGGAAATTTATGTTTTATGTGATTTTACCCTCCTGGCTTTTCTGCAGTGTGAGAAATCCCCGGACTGGCTGCGTGCAAAAGGCGCCTCGGATGCACCTGTAGCTGATTTTTTATGTATAAGTAAACCCCGTGCTGCATAATCTGCACTTGTGAAACGTTAGCCCTGAGTAACCCCTGCAGCTGGGGATGGTGCAGAGGGAGATGTTGGTATTCATGAATGTTTTGACATATTTGACATTTCCTATATGGTGTGCTTTCTCTGCGTTCCTGATTTCCTCCTGTCTCTGCTCCCCTGGCTGAGCAGGGAAGAGTTTCCCTCTCTGGTGCTGTGGCACAATGTGGAGGAGCTGGAGCTTCGTGGGTTTGTTTGTTTTCTTAATTTATCTGATTTAAAAGTATATGCTCATCAAAGCAGTGGCACTATTGCATTTTGGTGGGATTGCTGCATTTTAACAGGGTTAAATGCTGAGGAGAAATCTGCTTTTGGACCAGTGTGAGCAGCACCTTTCATTGAACAGGCCTCCTGTCCAGTCACAGAATTCCTAATTTTTATTCAAATCTTTATAATTCTGTCAGAAACCAAACCTCACTGGTAATTTTGGGCCCACCATTGGGATGAGAATGTCCTCAGCAAACCCCAGGTGTTTTGGTCGCTTCAGGCTCTCCTCCTCAGCTCCCCATTTCCAGCTGAGCTGCTTTGGTGAGTGGAGGAGATCAATGCAGTGAATGTTCCTGCTGAGGAGGAGGGCTGTTTGGCCAGGTGTGAGCGTGGGCACTCGGCTTTGCTGTGGGGTCACTGGCGTGGCTGTGGCAGCCCTGGGTGTGCTGGGCTCGTGCTCTGGTTCAATTAATTAATGGCTTTGGTAGGATGGCTCTGCTCTACAGCACTGGCCAACCCAGATTTCTGTGCCTGTTGTGCGTCTGACTGAAGGCACAGGGACCTGCACGTGTTAATAAACGCTAAATAAAGTACTTAGCTCACTTTTCTTGACTAATTTGTTGTCAGGGATGGCAAACACAGCAATGGGAGAGCAGGAGCCTGCAGGGTCCATGGCTCAGGGCTGGCTGCTCCTGCCTCAGGGTGTCTGGGGTTTGTCTCTGCACTTAGGGAAGGTCCAGGACTGTTTTCAGAGCACAGCCTTCCCCTAAAGTCACATTAAGTGACTCTCATTTTAGATATTTTTTTTATTTTCCTGTAAAATTGGGTATTTTCCTGGATTTGTCCAAAGAGCAGAGATGTGAATTTTGGAATGATGTGATTCCTGAGTGATGTGATTTTTGAGTGATGTGACTTCCAGTATCTGGTCATGAGTTTTGCA